TCGGATTTGTGGAGAACGAGTTAGGGGTGCGCTTCCTCTCTACATGCGGCGGGATGACCATCGAAAACGGGTCCTTGCACGAGGAATGCTGTATGAGGAGATCACAACCCACATGAGATTTCTCTGACAGCATTTGGAGAATGCATGTGGCGTCGCTCAGTAGCGTTGCGAGCGGCATTGCTGGTTGCGTGAGCATGCTTGTAGGTCGTTTCACTAGTGGCAGAAGCTGCAGTAATTGGGTAGTTTGCAGAACGAGTGATGAGTGCACTTCCTTTGTACATGCAGCGGGATGACCATCGAAAACGGGTCCTTGCAGCAGGAATGCTGTATGAGGAGATCACAACCCACATGAGATTTCTCTGACGGCATTTGGAGAGTGTTTTTGGCATCGCTCAGTAGGGTTGCCGGCGGTGTTGCTGGTTGCGTGAGCATGCTTGTAGATCGTTTCAACAGCGGCAGCAACTAAGCTGCAGTCATTCGGATTTGTGCAGAGCGAGTTTTGAGTGCACTTCCTCTCTACATGCGGCGGGATGACCAACGAAAACGGGTCCTTGCAGCAGGAATGCTGTATGAGGAGATCACAACCCACATGAGATTTCTCTGACAGCATTTGGAGAGTGCATGTGGCGTCGCTCAGTAGGGTTGCCGGAGCATTGCTGGTTGCATGCTAGCAGACCATATGCAGTAATTGGGTGGTTCGCAGAGCGAGTGATAAGCGCACTTCCTCTGTACATGCGGTGGGATGACCAACGAAAATGGATCCTTACAGCAGGAATGCTGTGTGAGGAGATCACAACCCACATGAGATTTCTCTGACAGCATTTGGAGAGTGCATGTGGTGCGCTCAGTAGGGTTGCTGGGGCATTGCCGCTTGCGTGAGCATGCTTGTAGATCAAAGCAGCAGCTGCAGCAGCTAAGCTGCAGTAATTGGGGCTTTTGCAGAAGCAGTGATGGGTGCAATCTCCTTGTACATGCAGCGGGATGACCATCGCAAATGGATCCTTTCAGCAGGGATGCTGTATGCGGAGATCACAACCCACATGAGATTTCTCTGACGGCATTTGGAGAGTGCTTTTGGCATCGCTCAGTACGGTTGCCGGCGGCGTTGATGGTTGCATGAGCATGCTTGTAGATCGTTTCAACAGCGGCAGCAACTAAGCTGCAGTCATTCGGATTTGTGCAGAACGAGTTATGAGTGCACTTCCTCTCTACATGCGGCGGGATGACCAAGAAAACGGATCCTTGCAGCAGGAATGCTGTATGAGGAGATCACAACCCACATGAGATTTCTCTGACAGCATTTGGAGAGTGCATGTGGCGTCGCTCAGTAGGGTTGCCGGGGGCGTTGCTGGTTGTGTGAGCATGCTTGTAGGTCGTTTCAACAGCGGCAGCAACTAAGCTGCAGTCATTCGGATTTTTGCAGAACGAATTATGAGTGCACTTCCTCTCTACATGCGGCGGGATGACCAAGAAAACGGATCCTTGCAGCAGGAATGCTGTATGAGGAGATCACAACCCACATGAGATTTCTCTGACGGCATTTGGAGAGTGCATGTGGTGTCGCTCAGTAGGGTTGCCGGGTGCGTTGCTGGTTTCGTGAGCATGCTTGTAGATCATTCCAACAGCGGCAGCAACTAAGCTGCAATCATTCGGATTTGTGGAGAACGAGTTAGGGGTGCGCTTCCTCTCTACATGCGGCGGGATGACCATCGAAAACGGGTCCTTGCAGGAGGAATGCTGTATGAGGAGATCACAACCCACATGAGATTTCTCTGACAGCATTTGGAGAGTGCATGTGGCGTCGCTCAGTAGGGTTGCCGGCGGCATCGCTGGTTGCGTGAGCATGCTTGTAACTCGATTCACGAGCGGCAGCGACTAAGCTGCAGTAATTGGGTGGTTTGCAGAACGAGTGATGAGCGCACTTCCTTTCTACATGCCGCGGGATGACCATCGAAAACGGATCCTTGCGGCAGGAATGCTGTATGAGGAGATCACAACCCACATGAGATTTCTCTGACGGCATGTAGTAGCAGTGTAGTAAGCTCCTGGGCAGTACTTTGGTTTCGATCTGGGGGCGTAGCATGGTTGAGGTCAGCAGCAGCTGCAGCAGCTATTCGGCTGTCGTCGTAGGGCGGGCTTCGTGATATCTTTTCGTGATTACAGCTGTCAGCTGGCGAGACGGAAGGGGACAGGGACTGTGTTAGCTGCAACTTCTGGGGTTTCGGCCGGATTCGCTGAGCTTCAGCATCTCGGAGGTGAACACCAACATCATCGAGGATCGTGCCGGGGACTTAATCCAAGATGGCTCTTTTGGGGAGTCCGAATCTCTTCCATGGCGTAAACCAACTGCACAGCATGCGAAGTGGAGAGGCAGTCTTTCGTCGGACACGGATGGCCAGGGCATTTTCAGGGCTTCTCAGATTTGATTCCAGAAAGTGTTCGTTTCCAATTGGTAGCATGTGCTTTTTCAGATAGGATGGGGCTTACCCCGCAGCATTTCTTTTTCTGACTTCGATGTCAATCGCTGCTGTCCAAACATAATCTAAGCCAGCGGCTCGAAGTGCAAGGCTGCCGGCCAGGAAGCCCACTTGAACACATCCGGGAATGGTTCCAAATCCTGATCGGTCTCAACTCCACTTCGTGAAGCAAGCGTGGACATGCGTTTCTTTTGTTCTCTCTTGTCTTCCGGCTCTTCCGAAGGCCAAGGACGATCTGCAAGAAGAGAACTTGCAGCTACGAAGGCGACGGCCTTGCTGGTTCGATCGCCGGGAGAGGAGCCGGCAGCCGACTGCCAGGACCCAGGCTGAGATGAAGTCACGCCTGCAGAAGCTCCAGGCCCCACCTTCCGCTGTTTCGAAACATGGGGAGAAGGAACAGAAGGACTGAAGTTGCATACTAGTGCCATTGTTATAAACCAGATTTCCAAACAAGCAATTTAAATCATTTGCATACTATTGTCATGGTTATAAACCAGACTTCCAAACCAGCAGTTTAAATCATGATAGCTGGCAGCAGTGAAGATGGCCTTTGTCCATGGGGGCTTTCCTTGGCTTCCCCTTTGCCCAGACGCAAATCCGCGGTGCCCGGGAAGATCCCTGGGAAGCAAAGGCCCTGGAGCAGAAGGCGCCCGAAGGGCGAAAGCGGCTCCGAAAGCCAAGCCGAAGGGTTCCTTTAAAGGGTTCTATAGGGCTAGTATAGGGGTACTATAGGGGTACTATAGGGGTATAAAAAAAGGGGTACTATATAGGGGTACTATTATGGGGTTACTATAAGGGTTTTAGGGGTTGAGTGGTGGCCTTGGCCTTCAGGCCGCTGACTTGGAGCAGCTTCAACGAGCTCTCTCCGCCCCCGGGGGCAAAGTCCGCAAGGCCGGTCCGAGGGAAGAGCTGAGCATCCCAGCTTTCAGGTTTCCGGTTTTATATATTATATTATATATTATATTACATTATATCACATTATATTATATTATATGTACTATTTTTAAAAACCTGACTGGAGGCCTCGACATCTCCCGGAGCCCGCCGCGGCCTCCGCAGCAGGCAGTCGAATCCCGTGAAGGTTTGGGGGTGAAGCTGAAAGATGCCTTGCCGCAGGCAGCAATCGCAGCGGACAGGGGGCGGTCGACTCCGTGGCCGCATGACAATCATGCCCTGGGACCAGGCTCGGCAACCGAGATGTTGCTTCAACCTTGCTTCAGCGCTACCCGGAGGCCTTCCAGAAGGACGACGCTGCTCGGAACCGAGATGCCGCAGCTCATCACAGCAGATAGACAGAATTTAACAGCGTCTTGGAGTCTTGGACTGGCTTCTGTCTTGCTCAGGGTCGCCTGGCTGATGCTCCAGCTCGATCGCTGTCTCCCCCTTCTCGGTGCATGCCACTGCCTGTCCAAGTCTCAGGGGTAAGGTGTCGTGCTTGGCTTTGGCGGGATGGAGGCACCTCAGTCAACCTTTCTGCCTGTGAGCTTAGTTCTTTGTGCCAAACGTGTGTGGACGTCGCAGATTTAACCGCCAATGCCCGCCTGAGGCAGTACATGTGCCTGCGTCACCGGTGGCACAATCCCCGTGTGCGAGGCTATGGCAGTCTTCTGATCTGCAAGCAGGCTGCTACTGCTGCGACTGCTGCTACTGCTGCGACTGCAGCTACTTCCACTGGTGCTGCTGGTTCTACTGCTTCTGCTACTGCTACTGGTGCCGCTACTGCTGCCGCTACTGCCACTCCTAACCCTCCTACAACAGCAGCTGCTACAAAACTGCTGCTGCTGCTGCTGCTGCTGCTGCTGCTGCTGCTGCTGCTGCTGAAGCTTCTACTCCTGCTCCTACTCCTGCTCCTCCTGCTCCTACTCCTATTCACGCTCCAATTCCTACTCCTATTCGGCCACTGCTACTGCTGCTACTGCTACTGCTGCTGCTGCTACTACTAGTGCTAGTACTTGTACTATGCTTACTACTACTACTACTACTACTACTACTACTACTACTATGCTTACTACTACTACTACTACTACTACTACTACTACTACTATGCTTACTACTACTACTATGCTTACTACTACTACTACTACTACTACTACTACTACTACTACTACTATGCTTACTACTACTACTACTACTACTACTACTACTACTACTACTACTACTAGCCAACTACTACTACTACTACTACTACTACTACTACTACTACTACTACTACCATGCCGCGACTTGCGATCAACGACCCGCGATCTACAACCCGCGATGCACGGCCACGATCCACGACTCACTATCGTACCCACAACCGACAAGCGTTTGTGCTCGCAACAGCAGCAAGGACAGCAACAAGAAGCTAGATAAGACTCGCACCCACGATGGCGACAACGAGGATGATTATATAACCTCCTATGGGGTGATGGTGATATATGGTGGTGATGATGATAATTACTGTAATGATGAACGACGATGATGATGACGATGACGATAAGGATCATGATGAGGAGTGCTAGAGTTTCTCGACGAGAGGCCACCGAGTTTTGGCAGTCTGGTTCCGCCTCCGCCGGCAGACTCGCCAACTGCAACTCGTCTGCAGCAGAAGATCACCAGGACACGTGTGAACCGGCATTCTGATCGCCGAGGGCAGAGGCCGCGCATCTCCCAGAGCCCCACTTGCTCCGAGGCCCGGTCTCGTCCTTTGCGGATCTGTGCTAAACGAAGACACGGGCAGCCTGTAGTGGGCGTTAACTTTGTAAAACCTCAGGCCCGGATTCTTTAGGAAGTGAATCTGGAGATGTTGCGTGACCGTCTGAGATCTGTGGGACCGTTGGGACCTTGGCAGGGTGGCTCCCCCCGCTACTTTACCGGCGCCTGGACCTCTGCTGTTAGAGCAGTCGCTTGTCGAATCCGGGTGAACCGACAAGCCCAGGCCTCCACCGGATGCGAAGGACGTGAGACAGGGAGAGCAGTGAGAATGTCCCATGTCTGTTTCAACAAGAAGCAGGATGTAGCACAGTGGTGAACAAGAAGGGGGACAGTTCAAGCACAGTTCCTGGTGAAGAGAAGAGCGTGACCGGGAACAGCTCTTCTTCGTCTGAGTGCGTCTGTCAAGGAGCCGGGGCTGCAGCCGGGCCATACTTGCCTGGGCCTCTCGCTGCCATCGCTGCCGGAGGCGGGCCTGGACTTCTAATCGCATCCTTCCTGCCTCGTCTACCTCAAATTTACGATGACCACCATCATGACTCATGATGACTCTTGGGCGATGGTGTGTGATCACGTTCACACCTGTGCAGGTCCCGGCCCTCTCTGTCGCACCTGCCATGGACGAGCGGGAGAAGCAGCAGGCCAGTCTCCAGCGCCGGAGCTGCAGAAGGCACACCTCAGCTCCCTCAAAACTCCCGTGTCCAGGCGCTGGAGCTCCGGGATCGCAATCGCGAGCTGTCCAGCCAGCCCGGCGGCTCAGAAACAGCGAGCAAAGGCCTCCTTGAAAATCCTCCTCGTTCGCTTCATCTCACCTTCTCACCTGCGCCTTCTGTGCCTGCTTAAGGCTTGACCGACTGCTGGTGGACAAGTTCTCAGAGGATGCCTTGCACGACAAGTCCAAGATAAGGTCCGGCCTTTGCAGAGGGCTGACACAGCTAAGCCCCAAACACACCCAAAGCCCGCCCGAACCCAACACTGTCGGCCATGCGCAGTTTCTCTCCGGCAGAAAAAGACTGTCTAAATGGAGCTGCGAGGTACAAGGAGAAAATCAAAGCCAAGGCCTGGCAGTGCTCCGAGTGCTCTGCGGTGTGGTGTGCGGCGAGGTGTCGAGGTAACAGGTAGGAAGTTTAAGCATTTATTTCCCTGGCTTATTGGGGAAGTAAGAAGAAGCAGCGACTTCAGGCTCAGCTCACGGATTTCTGACTCGAAGAAAGCCTTGCAGGCCCTAGAGACGGACATCGGACATTTGGCAATCCAGGGCCTAAACCTCGTGACCATCCCACAGCGCCGAACGCCGTCCTTTAAACCCAAGGAGCTGTAGCCGGTTTTAAGGCCAGCTTTCTGGGAGCTTCTGCCAGGATGCAAAGATCAGCTCCTTGGAGACCGCTTTGGAGCGGCTCCGAGAGAAGGCCGCGCGATGTGCCCTTCCCATGTTAAGACAGGGAGCCCATAGGCCCTAGGCCCCAGGAGCTGAGGGCCTCCGAAAGAAAACCCAGTCATAGAGTCCGAACATGTCACGGTTTAGGGAACCCTAAACCCTAAACCCTAAACCCCCAGCCCTAGAGTCCCAACATGTTAATGTCCCTGGTTTCATGATCCGCCCTCGGGCCTTGCACTGCCACGTTCCAGGCTCGCCACATCGAAGGCTCCATGCGCCACGATGCGCAACAGCTCGGGGCCGAGAGTTCTCAAGGCAGGCCTTCAGGACCAGGCTGAGAGGAGATGGCGTGGGCCGGCGTCCCCAAGTGCACTGGTTGCTCTCGTCTCACTCTTGACAATCGGAACCGTAGCTGCAGCAACACCTGCAGTAAGGAGTTGGCAATGGGACTCTAGGGTGCAACTGATCGTGCAGGCTCAGTGGATTTAGAGGTAGAGTTAACGTGCATATTCGAGCGTCGTCGGTTGTCAGCACGGGCTTGCTGCGGATCTGTATGGATCCGTTTTGATGTTAGGGGTACGTCTGCACACGCCCGAACCCAGCAGCCGGAGACGAGCCATCAAGGGGCTCTGAGTTGCGAGTGGTATGAGCCTCAGGCTTGCCATCGATGTGGCAGTGCTTTCGACAGAACTCCACCACGCTCAGGTCCGGTTCAGCTTTCCTTAGCATGCTTTGGTCTTTTTTGTCGTGTTCCACGAGATTTGCTTGGAGGTGCACGGCTCCTTGCCGGAGGAGAACTCCGGTCTACGAGCCCAGCTGGCCCAGGCACACACCCTGAACACTGCCGAATCAACGGTCGCTGGTGTCGTCCAGGCAATTGCCTCTGCCGACGAGATGAAGAGGCGCAAAGGGCAGCGCCTCAGGGCTGAACCCCGGCCCGAGGAGGAGTCTCCCGTATGTCCCTGGCCGGCTCCATAACCCTGATGGTCTGAAGTTTATCCATTCCTACTGTCTCCGTTCCCGTCTTTCTTGTGGTCGTCGAGGCTATGGTCGGTGCTATGAGGCATCATCATCATCACCATCATCATCATCATCATCATCCTCATCCTCATCTCCTCGTCCTCGTCCCCATCCTCATCATCATCACCATCATCATCATCATGACCATCATCCCATCCATATCATGATCATGTTGTGATGTCGGCTTCTGAGATGTGCATTCGCTAGGAGGCCGTTCCTTCCCTTCTCTCTTGAGGGCTCTCGCAGCTCCCTGCCTTGCAAAAGAAGATGCCCCGTCCAACCTTCCGGCTCCAGGTTGCAGCAGGCACAAAACCAGGAGGGGATGCCCATGGCAAGTGGCATTGGACGGTACATCGCTCCACGTCCGTGAAGGTTTTAGATGTCAGATGGCCAGTAATGCACCCCCCAGAAGAATAGACAATAGGTTCCGCTGTTTAGCTGCCTGCTTAGATCTAGGCATGGCCGTGCCCTGCGTGTGAGACACCGGGGAGCCTGGAGTTCGTCCCATGCCGAAGACGGAGACGGGACATGGAACCAGCCACGCAGACGCGATTGCGTGCTTGCAAAAAATTTTCGCAAAGAACCACACGGGCTTTGGTTCCGACATCACCGATGAGAACATCGATCCTGGAAATCTGCAGTATGGCGAGGTCACCTACCAAGGCATGCAGCCCTTGTACGGTGCTCTGGACCTGAGGCCAGGCGATGTCTTTTATGACCTGGGCTGTGGTGTTGGGAAGCTGGTGCTCTACGTGGCCCTTCGGGGCGACGCAGCCCGATCCGTGGGCCTGGAAGTGGGGCAGCGCCGCTTTCTGCTGGCGGAGGGGGCCCGCTGCTCCCTGGATGAGGACTCTTGGGACCTCTTGGGACCCAGTGGGACCCGGACCTCATCGGCCCCCGCTTAAACCAGCAAAGCTTTGTCGCGCAGGAGCTTGACTCCCTCAAGAAGACGGGCAAGTCCCAGCCCTCGTCGACGGAATACAAGTTCATGACTCTTGGTGGCAGAAGAACATTGCTTCGAGGCCTAAGCTCGGTTTTGACCTCTTTCGGCCCAGGCTTGCGGACATTAGCAGGCCCGATCCTTAGTCCCCGAACTCTGGATCGTGCTAAACGTGCGCTGCGTCTTAGTGTCTGCAGGCACCGCTACTTGGATCCCACGGATGCTCGGCTTGATGCCATGCTGCTTCACTGCTTCGTACTGCTGCGTGCTGCTACGCAACGCTTACCGTCTTTTGCGTTCTTGGCCTGTGGTCATGATCTCTTTTTGTGAAGGTTGCAGTCCTCACCAACCTCTGCATGGACATGGGTGTCCAAAGCCGCACGGTCAACTGTCTCCTGCGCTGTCCCTCCTTCAGGTCGCAGCATGGCAGCAGCCGGATCTTGCTAGACCTAGAACTTTGCAAGCCAGGCGACTGGTGAGCATCACTCCACTCCTTCATTCCAGGCACGCCTCCTCCTGCCACCGGCTGCATAGTTCAAAATGCGCGGTTGACTTTGAGAATGTTGATGGTGTCAACAACTGTCCAATTTCTCGAAGTCTTTTTTGGAAGATGTTTTTGCAGGCTGAAGTTGGTGCGCTCCGTGATGGTCTCCTGCACCTGGGCCAAGGTCTCGGCATGGCAGGCGACTGACTCAGCAATTCGGGTGCACTGTTTGCCCTTGTTTGCTGTTGCCTCTGACTGGCCTTGACAAGGTGTACGATGTTCTGCCACCGCAGGACAGGAAGTGGTAAGTCGGAGAGCAATGTCGCTCAGTGCAACGTGCTGCAGTCGTAGCGACAAGCATTCTCAAACCGACTTGACGAGTGAGTCCCCGTGATCGCGTCAGGAGCCCCTTGCCCGCTCCTTCCTGGCTACACCAGCGGTCATCAAAAGGTGCACCAGTGCAACGGCCCTGAAGAGGCCCACGACCGGAATCTGGAGTGCTTCTGTCGACCATTGATCTAGCGGACAGCGGAGAGCATGGGTCCACGGGGCTTCTGGGGCATGTGCAGGCGTGGCGCACCTTGGCAGCAGGCTTTATGAAGCAGAGCGCCTGCTTTGCGGGGTGCACCTGCGCTCACCACGTGGGCTTGCACACCGAGTATCGCAGCACCATGTCAAGCTCCCTGATGGTCGGCCAAGGACTTAATGTTGTCACCGGCAAGGCCCGACAAAAAGGCCAGGCATTCTGGTAGCGAAACCTTCACTTCCGGAGTCTCAAGTTCACGTGTAGGACACGCTACCTCCGCTGGTGAGCTCGGCAAGTTTGCGGCGGGCGGGTGCAAGAAGTTTGCCGGCCACCAGGAAGGGGGGACGCAGCCGCGTGACGCTGACAATAATATGACCAGTGCCTGCTCACCTGCAGGCGCAGCATGACGTCTGTGAAGCGGAACGCTCTGACCTTCACTCAGATGAGACGAGAATTCATCGAGGAATGTGTTCGTTTTTTGTCGGAACCCCGCGGGCCTTTGCTGCCACTGCAGGCGCCTGAACTCCAACTTGGAGCCTGCTACGGATGAGCCTACGAAGTAGGCTGCGACTGGTTTCAACGGCTTTCCACGAGGGTCCAAAGCAAGGCCCGTGCTGAAGACTGTCAGAATCCCCCATCTCGGACGATTGTAGCCAGGGATGCGCTGGAGCTACAAAGCTCTGGCTGTAACACAGTCATTGCGAAGCAGATGGCACCGTCGCAGCTTCTTTCGGGCTGTTGGCCGTCAGAGAGCTCGGCTTCTGAATTCAGATGCTCGGTTACTGCAAAGGAATGCATATGGTTGCACCCAGCATTGCCAGAGAGGTTCAAGACTTGTCCGGTTGCGTTCGCAGTTTCCGGGCTCCTGTCACCTGCAATTCGCGGTTCGCGGTGTGTGAGGCACCGGCCGAGAAGCGTGACGAATAGTCTCAACAGCTGGGCATCACCAAGGATGTCGGAGAGGCTGTCTCCATGGCATGGAGAAGCTGAAATCACGCTTGGATTAGAGACAGCCAGCTGTGTACTCGTCGCAAGAAGTTTCTGGATTCTGTTGGTTCGAACTATGTTGGTCCTCGTATCATGTTTCAAGAGCTGTCATGCTGTAGTGCGTAGGCCGAGCCTGCTTTGCAAAGGAGATCGTGGTGGAGTTTGATTGAGCTTGGGCTCTCTAAGACGTACAGCTGTCCTTCCGTGTTGCACCGGGAGTGCTCTGCAACTCTCCACCGCCAGGTCAGAGCAGGTTCATAGGAATAGCTCCGCAGCACCTTAAACAAGGACTGCTGCCATCCCCCATGGTGCTGGCCAACGTGTGCACAAAGAAAGTTTGCTTCATGAGACGAGTTCCGTAACTACGGGGCGCCCTGAACCAAGTTGTCATAAGATCACAAAGTGCACCAAAGTCGGCTTCACTGATGGCCCCTTGTGAAGTTTCACTGCTTTTTGGAAAGTCAGGTGATCGAATCGTAGCAGGCCAGACATGCTTCTGCATGATTTTTCTTTACTCAAATGCCCCTGTCGCACAAACAGTGTGAATCTCTTGCTCGAAAAGATCACCAGCAGACACTTTGCTTCGGTGTGTGGATTGGGTGCTACATTTTATATTCCTTTTAACAATGCTCGCGAGTACAAATCATAGTTGTAGTCACTCTGCTTCTTATGTTCCAGTCTGGCAATGAGTGCTACGATTTGTTGTGATTTCTTATTGCTATGAGTTTGGTGAAGATGTCATTGGATTCGTGTCCTACTGGTTGTGAAGTGACTTAGAGCTATTCAGACTCTGGTGGCCATTATTCTACTGAAGTTGTTTTGAAGACGACCCAGCCACGGTTTTATTGACATGTCATGGTGATTGATGATGGATTCAACAGTGTTGTTACGATTCGTGTAACTGTTACAACGATGATAGTACTTTTCTTTCTGCTTTATGGCTCTCTTTATTGTTTTATGATGGTCGTGAGTCATAATGTTCGACCTGTCGCGCCCAATTGACAAAATAGACGCGGCAGGCAGATTCGCGACATCACAGTCCAGTGCCCGGCTTCTGTTTTTTGTGTACAGGTTGCGCAGTGGAGCTGTCGTTTCATGGGCCACTACTGTTGTGGCATAATTTCCTGCCTGTCATGCTGTGACTCTGGCTACTGGTCTGCCGTCAGAAATTCGCCTTCTCCTCCGTCGCCGATCAGCGCATCATCTCCGAGCAGCGAATCAAGGCGCTTGCGCCAGCCCGGCCCAGTTCTCGAGAGGAAGCTCTGCTGCTTTGAGGAGCTGGAGGAGCTCCTGGGCAAGAGGGCCGAGGCAAAGCGTGAAAAGCCTCCCCTCGATGCGATGAAGGGCCCAGCTGGAGAGGAGAACGAGAAGCTGACGGCCCAGAGTCAGCTGATTCAGCACGAGCAGGACCAGGCCTTGATCAGCTCAGAAGTTCTTTTTGGGTTGCAACAGCCGTGGAGGTTCGATGTGACATTGCAGAGTTCGAGCAGCAAAGTCGGGCACTTCTGGAGGAGCTTGGTTTTGACAAGTTGAGGCTTTGATTTTGCACGTGTTAGTTGCTGCTGCAGTAGTCTTGTCCCAAGCACGCAGCCTCTCGATCGCCGCCCCTCTCGCAGCGCCTGACCTCGCTGCCACGTGGCTCTCAGCTGCCTGTCACCCACCGAGTTGGCGGCAACACTTACGCGCAGAGCGAGGGCCCGAGAGGAAGGGAAGAGCCCGTCTGGTCCAAGTGGTACGCACAGCTGCATCTACAGAGTTGTGCAAACGCCATTCTGTCTTTACGAGGCCACTCTGTACTATTGCATCTTCGCCACCGCTTTGCGGAGGCAGAGAGTGTGGCCTTGTGCTGTTGTTTTGCCGGCCGCGGTCTTCGCGATGCTGTTGTGCTTGCAGGGCTTGCAGGGCTGCAGCTAAGGGGTTGCGAGTGGACAGCATCGTCATGTTTCGGGTTCCTTGGCGAGGTTGATACTCAGCGTACACTGCACCTGAGCAATGAACTCGAGTTCATATACAAGCAACATGCCCGGTGCCAAGAGTGGAAACGTCTCAGGGCGAGTGTCCGATGTTTGAGGATTTAGATGATGGCATGGTAATGCTGTGGCAAGTGCAAGGTCCGTGGCTGTGGAGGGAGATTTCTTCTCTCAGGCACGGGTGGTGCGTTTTCCTCTTTTCGATTCTCTCACACTCGGCTGTATACGATAGGCATGGACTTTCCTCGTGTCCGCCCGCCTCGAGCTGACCTTGTTCCTGGCAGCTCTACTGGCCGGGTGCCCGAGCTCTGAGACTCGGAGTCCCTTCTGAGCCACTGCCCACGTTTTTCAGTGAAGCAAGACATATTACAGTACTGGTACCGTCCACTCACTCATGACTCATGCATGCGGGAGATTTTCTGGGCTGGAGATGGCATCGGCCACATCTAAACACGTGCCCACAGCAGGGACCGGAATGTCCGAGGCTCATTTCTTGCTGTTTGGCAACTCCACTCCCCAGAAGACGAAGCACAAGAGCGGCAAGGAGCCTTCGTTTCGATGCAGTTCTCCAAAGGGTGGGCAGGTGTGTTCGCGACCAGGAGGCTTACCCGACCACAGCGCAGCAATTTGCCTCCGCCAAGGCTGCCACGCATCTGCAACGAACAAAGCACAGTGCCAGTTGGGCTTATGGACCCTCGAGGACGTTGAGTCTGCATTGGCAGACGCCGCTCGTGGCAATCAACCGAAGCAGGCTGGGTGTTGGATCACGGGAGTTTCGAGAGTCCCGCCAGTTCCAGACACAGGTTCTGACTTGCTGGGTTGCCATGAAGAAGTTCAATGACTATTCGATTGCCGTGCCGCTGGTAAACCCCTGAGCATTTGAGGACGGAATTGGATCAAATAGTCGCGTGAATGAACGATGCGAGGCAAGTGTCGTCGAAGCTATGCAGAAGTGCAAGAAGGACCTTCAGCTAAATTGTTGCTTCTGGTATGCTGCCACAGCGGCATTTGACGAAAGAGTGTGAGAGTGACCGGTGGAAGCTCGTGTGCAGGATGGAGATTACATTTTGAGAACCTGGGCTGCAAGAGAAACGTTCATGCTTGCACAGCAGAGTACGTCAGAGCGACTCTCCAAGGAGAGGTGTGCAACTTCCTGAACCGTAAAGGAGGCCTTTAGCCTGCGAAGCTCGTGGATGGCGATGGGCTTAGCCGTGTAGTTTCTTCTGGCGCAGGTTCAAGCAGCAGCACGCTGATCAATGCTTCTCTCTCAGTGCAACCGCGCATTGGTCCGATCAGCTGTGCACTTGTCTTGCAATTGAACGTCAGATTGCAAGGACTTGCTGGAATCATTGGCTAAGCGTCCAGAGCTTGTTTCAGCTTTGCATCTGTGGGACCTGAACTCTTCCGTCGTTTCGCTCAGGTCTCGATTCTGACTTCGTCGAGCGGCTCCTTGCCTCGCTGCCCTCGACAGGTGTGAGGGAGATCTGCCGCAGGGCGGAAAAACCTCAGAGCGCCTGCGAGCGCAGGCTTCGTGTTGGACAGCCGCAGCTACGAGATCCTCGTAAACATGCACTTCACGCCTCTGCCCCGGCATCCAATGCTCGCCCCTTGCCCTTTTCACCCCTCTTCACCCCGGTGCCCTCGGCTTTGTTCTTCTGGCATTTCTGGCTCACACGAGGATGCGCAACTTCGAGATGGTGGATCTGCTGGTCGCGCAGGCCAAGGCCGCCAAGGCCGGAGACGCTGAGAGGAAGTATTATTAATACTATTATTACTATTATTACTATTATTGCTAATATTACTATCATAAGTATTATTACTACTATATAGGCTTATATAGGCAACGGCTCCACTCCCGTCCCCTCCTGTCCCCTCCCCTCCCCTCCCAGGTCCCTCTGACCACGCGCGCCTCCATCGTGCTGATCAAGACGGCGCTGAAGACACAGAACTTCAAGGATGCCCGGAGACCCAAAGAAGGAAGAGCAGGTCCCCGAAGACGGCCGGGAGCGTCTTTTTATGGCCTTATAAGGCCTTGAGCACCTTCCGCGAGCTCAAGTCCCTTTGGACAGGCTGCTTGCATGCATCCATAATCATCCATACGAGTAGGATTATCCATATCCATATATATATATATACACATATATATATATATACATACATACATACATACATACATATATATATATATATATATCCATCCCTTTTTTTTGGGGGGGGGTGTGGGCGGGGGTTCTGCGTCTGCCCTTTCCAGGTCCTGCTGCGGCGGGACCCTCCACGGCCCCACGCCAGATCGCAGCCAGCTCGGTCATTGTCGGATCGTCGCTGGAGTCCGGAACCCTCAAATGAACCCTTAAATGAACCCTTAAAGGAGCCCTTAAAGGAACCTTAAAGGAGCCCTTAAACGAATCCATAAAGGAGCCCTTAAAGGAACCCCTAAAGGAACCCATAAAGGGCCTCTGTCACTGCCCATGAGGTTGGCCACCTCGTCGACATGGCTTGCAAGGAGATTCAGGGACTTAGGTATTATTATAAATATAGGACCATACAAAGGCAACAGAGGAGATATTATTTATAATTCTAGCTATCCGGTGTGCATCTTGGGCCTCAAGTGCTCTGAATTCTACGACAGGAGCATGAGCTGAAGCTGTTTCTCCCCGAGCTTGCGACAGTGCCTTTGTCGGAGGATGCCAGGGGCTTCAGTCCCCCTCAGACACGCTCAGTTCCCCGAAGTTTCACGCCGTGCTTCAACCCTAAGGCCATTCAAGCTATGGTCACAGAAGCCGTGCGAGAGAAGGATGAAGAGCTCCTGCGTCAGGCCTTCCTTTAGACTCAATCCGTGCGCTGTGCGCGGATGCGGCTCTGCGTGAGAGGTTGAATCTCTTGCCCGAGAGAAGGACATCGCAAGGGGCCCCAGCTGTTTCTGCACCGGAGCCCGCGATGCCATTCGGGGGTCCAGAGGCATTTTCCGAGTCGACCTATGGCCTGCTCATGAAGGGATACAGAGGCGGGATCTTGGGGCCGTCAGTTGCCTGAGAGCTTGGACGATGGATCCACCTCCACCTGACAGATCACGATGACAAAGTCGAGAAGCTTTTCCAAGAGGCCGTCGCCAAGAAGCCAGACGCAGGACAGCCCCTGCCGAACATCACACCGTGGCTTGGGCACAGAGAGCATCGGTGTTCCTAAAATCTCCGTGGATGCGGCGTGCACAAGAGTTGAAGGCTGGGACTGTTGCAGGACCCGACTTGTGCTTGGCACTGTTGGCATGCTGCCAGCAGCTTCCCGCTCAGACGAAGGTTGGGCTGTTCTCCGGGTTGGATGTGCAGCTTGCAGTCTGAGGTCGCGAAATTTTGCTCTCGTCTGGGGCTTAGCAAAGATTGAGGGGGCGAGTCCAAAAGACGTTGTTTTGGAAACAGCAACATATCTCATTCTTGGGTCATCGATCGCTTCTTCTCGTGGATCATAAGGGTCCCTTACTGTCTTTTGGGGGCTTCGGGTTGACTTTGGAGATGTTGAGCTCAACCGGGCCAGGCGGACCAGGCGTACAAGCACTTCTCTGAGAACATGCCGTGGGGCTCCCGGCATTCCGCCAACAACATGGTACAGTAGTCATATTGCTAGCTATCACTCTACATAGGTTATCTATCTGGTTTACAGCTGTCATACTGTTCATGAACTTTACATCCATGCATACAATGTAGGAACATAAGCACAGATACGTTGTTTGTACACAAACTATACTGCATAGTGCAGCCGTGCACAGCCGAGGGCGGCAGTCTTGGCGGCTTTCCTTCGCTTCCACTTCGAGGCATCAGACCAAGGGCCAGCATGCCTGCAGCCCGCTATGCACCCTGTGAACTACGTGCCAGGTCGAGAACTACGACAGAGTCTGTGAATTGTATGCCACAGCCCGAGCAAGTCACGGGTCGTGTTGCTGGTGGTCACCAAGAATCAGCAGTACTGTGTGCGAAAGGTAAGCAGATTGCAAGGCTACATAAGTCACAATTCAATCTGCGATCTTGCAGACGACACCTCCCAGATCCTCTGAATGGACAAGTGGTTTGCTGCTGGACACGTGCATGGACAACCTGTGCCACTGGCAGGGGAATCGTGTAGAAGGCAGCCCGCAGCTCAGGAGAAGGATGCCGCCTCGCTGCGCGAGAAGGCTGCGGCTGAAGGCCCCTTGAGTCAGACGCAGACTGCTCAAAATAATTTGACATGTTACATCATGTTACTCGTACCTGTCGGTGAAAGTCTGAGTACACTGGGAAAGTACGAATCCAGTTGTCTGGTGAGTAAACGTCTCGGAGCGAGAGGAGCCAGGCTATTTGTCACAGTCGGGAAGCCTTTACACATCCGTAAACACCGAAGCTTAGAGTCACGAAATCTGCGAAGTTCACGGCTCGTTTGGTCCTCTTGCGAAGGCAGAGCCATCTTGGACTCTCGCGTGGAGTGGGGGACGCGGCTGGCATTACAGATATCCGAGGAAACATAAAGATGTTCGCTATCAATAGATGTTTGTAAGTGTGTAAACGATATTC